TTATTGATTTTCTCGAGATATTCGAAAAAGGATAAAGATGTAGACAAAGAAGATGACCCCGAATAAGATGACAAAGAAAAAGAAGACGAAGAAGAAGTAAAAGAAGAAGACGACGACGAAGAAGAAAATGGAGAAGAAGAAGACGAAGAAGATGAAGAAGACGAAGAAGATGGTGAAGAAGAAGAAGATGAAGAAGAAGAAGAAGAAGTGATATAGTACGCAATAATTAAAAAGAATCCTTTGTTATAATTTTTTTTTAATTAATGCGAAGAAGAGACAGGAAGAAGAAGGAAAGAAAATAATGAAGTATGTTAATAATAATTACAGAAGAAAAAGGAGATTCAGAATGAGGATATAATGAGTATCTTGTCGTAGTCGTAATATTTGTATTTGTATTAGTAATAGAAGAAGTAAAGAGGAAGTAAATAAGAAGTAGAAGTAATACATTTTGTAGCAGTAGTACAAGTAGCAGAAATAGAAAATGAAGAAGAATGTAAAGGAATAGAAAATAAATAACATCTTGTTGTAGTAACATACTTGTAGTAGTAGAAGAAGAAGAAGAGAAAGAAGAGAAAGAAGAAGAATTAAAAGTTCTAGCAATAGTAGTAGAATTAGAAAGAAAGACGAAAAAAGAAAGATGAACAAGAGCAAGAACAAGTAGAAGAAAAAGAATCAGAAAGAGAAGAAAGAAAGAAAAAGAACAAAGAAAGAAAGAAAGAAAGAAAGAAAAATGAGGAAGAGATATTAAAGCCGTCAATACAAAAAAAAAAAAAGAAATAAACGTAGAGGAAAATAATAAGCAGGAAAAGTCCGTCGGGCAGATAAGGGCAACTGAACAAAAGACAAAGGTCATCACAGATAATCTTGAACGTTGTCCACACAACAATAGAGCCATTGCACACGACAACCCAAAGTGGACAATGCTTGCCTTCAGGCACTTAGTGGACACTCTATACTTCAGGATTTTAAAACTCAATCCCATTTAATCCTGGATTTGAACGGATTATGGATTAATTACTAGGGTTTTATTTGTTTTCTTCCATTTCAAGAAAACATTAAAAACGTAAATGAAACCAAAGTTGAAGGTGAAATTATAAATTAAATATTTCTAGTTAGAATTTAAGAAACATTTTCTGAATAGCATTGACAAATAAACTAACTGGAAAATATAAAATATAAAATGTCGATTGTATTTTTTTTATCTATTAATTTCTCTCTGTGTATCTCCTTTTCTATGTCTCGATCCATCTCTCCATCTATCAAATGAAAATGATAATAATAGTAATGTTAAATATTATTTACACTTAAGAAAACATGTCGACCGGTAAATTACTGCAGGATAACTCGTTTACATCAATGAAGTGCTCAATTTTAAAATAATGAGCAACAATAGAAAATAGATAAATATTAGGTTGGTGCAAAAATAATGTTGTTTTCTCACATATGTTACTTTTATATATGATTTCTGAATTAATTCTTTGATATATATAGCCATGTTATATATCATTTTGAAGCGCGTTTTTCGCTCTATCGAATCGTGTTATTCGTTACCGTTCTAAATATCTTCATTCATTTTTTTTGCAGGCTTTTCGACAGCATGGACAAAATTCAAATCCGCACGATTTTCTTGTTCCAGTTCAAACTAGGCCGAAAAGCTGCCGAGACAGCCCGTGATATCAATGATGCGTTTGGCCCAGGAACCACTAACGAACGTGTGGCACAACGGTGGTTCAAGAAATTTCGCAATGGTGACGAGAGCCTCGAAGATGAAGACGGTCGCGGCCGACCGACTGCGGTTGATAACGAATATTTGAAAGCCTTAATTGAAGCCGATCCTCGCAAAGCCACGCGAGAAGTTGCTATTGAACTCGAGGTCGACCACTCAACAGTCGTTCGCCATTTAAAACAAATAGGGAAGTCAAAAATGTTTGATAAATGGGTGCCGCATAAATTGAATGATAATCAAAAAGAATCGTCGTTTTGAGGTGTCTTCTACGCTCCTTTTGTGCAACAAAAACGACCCATTTCTCGAGCGGATTGTGACGTGTGATGATAAGTGGATCCTCTACGACAACCGGCGACGTTCGGCACAGTGGTTGGATACCGGAGAAGCTCCACAACACTTCCCGAAGCCGAAATTGCACCAAAAAAAGGTTATGGTGACTGTTTGGTGGTCTGCGGCCGGTCTCATCCATCACAGCTTCTTGAATCCGGGCGAAACGGTTACGGCGGAGAAGTACTGCCGACAAATTGACGAAATGCACCAGAAGCTCCAACGTATGTGCCCGAGATTCGTCAATATGAAGGGACGAATTCTCCTCCCTGACAACGCTCGCCCGCATGTGGCTCAACTGACCCTGCAGAAGCTGAATGAATTGGGCTACGAGACTCTGCCTCATCCACCATATTCACTGGACCTCTCGCCCACCGATTATCACTTTTTTAAGCATTCTCAACAACTTCCTGCGCGAAAAATGCTTCAAAAGCCGAGATGATGCCGAATCGGCCTTCAATGACTTCATCGCTTCCAGAACTCCGGATTTCTATGCTAATGGGATAAATAAACTTGTTTCTCGTTGGCAAAAATGTGTCGATTCTAATGGTTTTATTTCGATTAATAAAGTTTATTATGAAAGGAGTTATGATCTTTTGAAGTTGAACGTCAAAAAACGACATTATTTTTGCACCAACCTAATAATATTCGAATAAATTATCTTACACGCTGATCTCGAGAAAGAAATGGCTTGTAAATTTTAACGCCTTCAAAACGAAACTGGTATCCTTTAATCATCATAGGGAACTATTTTTACCCTCCATCAATATGGCTGATGCTAACCTCATGGAGAGTAAATTCTAACAACATTACTAGCAAACTGACCTTAAAAATGTACACGCCACTTATAACATCTCTTACACCAGTGTAACGGGTCTACCTTCCAACTTCCCAGACTTCTTCAGTCTAAACCTGACCTCTTATTCCTGCCTGAAACAGGTATCAATACCTCAATACCATTATAACAAAATACGACCAATTAAATCGACACGCTAACGAGCTCGGTGCCTACAACAAGGACGGGTTTCGTTGTGGCAGGAACACAAAAAGGACGACCCTAATATCCGGTACATATGTTTCCATGTGACACTTATCCATTACACCACATTCATCTCTGCCTTATATAATCCTCAGGATGTAGGGTCGGTAATCTTCGATCGAATATTTGGGAGGATAAACACTATCCTCAACGAATTTCCATCGGCTAACTTTCATATAAGCGGTAACTCCAATGTTCACAACAAAGAGTGGTTAGTTCACGCTAACAAAACCCATGACAAAGGCAGTTATTGCAGAGAATTCTCTACCGTATATGAACTAACCCAGATCATTGAAGATCCCACATGAGTCCCGGATGCGATGAGACATTAAGCGAAACTCCTTGATATTTTTCTAACTGCCCGCTCAGACAAATCCTCAGCGAAACATTTAAGCGTCATTGTCACGTCAAATCATTCCCTAGTCAGTGTCCAGATAGATTTCAACCCAATGACATACCCTGATTTTTCGTTCTATACAATGGTTTTCCGCTATGCAGATTCGACAGAGTTCGGTCTTAGATGAGGGAAGCTCTCCTCCCAAACTTCATGCTGCTCCCAAACTGGTACCATAACATCCAAATGAACTCTTTTTGGAAAAGTGTTCTTTATACGTAAGTCGTTTAACAGCTTGGGATAATGTCTATCCCACAAAATGTTTAATATCTAAAAAACACTAACGTAATTGAGTTTAATAATAATTTGTATTAATATTTTTAGATAAGACATTTCGCCATCATGATACCATTTGTCATAAGAACCACTGAAAAATGCTATGGGTTATTCAGCTAAAAAAAGAACAGTTTAAAATCTTCTTTTTCTTTTTTTGTCAGCGCCAGGATGTCTTCCCAACTAAGCAATAGTGTAAGAAAAAAATCAGGCCTTCAGTAATAGTACCAAAATTCATAGTCTGGTTTCCATCTCCAAATTCTATTAAAAACATCAAGATAACGGTGAATATATTTTAAAACGAGGGAACAGCAGAGAGGAAGACTAGACAATAAGAGATAAGGCCATAAGCAAGAGGGATCATCATTTCAATTTAGAGCTAAATACATTTTCATTGTTCAAAATAGAATACAATATTGTTACAAAAAACTCGGGGAATTTCAGTAAGATATTTTTAATCATTTCCGTGATGAAAACGGTAGTTTCAAAGCTTAATTTAACAATTGGACAATTTGTTTCTTACACATTTCGAAGAATTTTGCACTTACACGTATATATATATATATATATATATATATATATATATATATATATATATATATATATATATATATATATATATATCTCACACTATTCCCGACGACCTTCTATGTTCACCTTATAAAAGCTCAATACTGCCCTTCAAAAGTGTAAATTTTAACTTGATTTTTTCAGCTTTGAAAGGGAAGTCTGAAGATCCAGAGAAAAATCAAATCTCTGGTGAAATAAATTAATACTAATGGAACCTTAAAGTGGTCTGTTTTTTTATTTAAATTAAATTATTCGCTCTGACTTAATATTGAGCCCTCCTGATTTCATCCTCCTTGGAATTATCCATAAGGATTACCAAGATTTTCGTTAATAAGCAAAATTGGTAGAGTTTCTGAACGTTTTGCATTATTTAAGAAAAAAACGTGGAATAATAATTTTTCTTTTTTCAATTTGACTCGATCTGTGATACAATAAGATTGTAATAACCACGAAAATACGTTTATTTATTTCTTTATTTATTATTGTAGTCGCAATAATTAAGGGCCAGGAGTATAACACTATAGGAAAGTGACCTATGTCGTTTTCCCTTAAAAAATGTACCCGTTTATGTCTTTCTCGACAACATTGACACTTTTTCAGGCGACATCACGCTGTGACAAGTGACTAGTCAGGCCATAACTGGTTTGTGAACAAAAATAATATCGCGAGACAGTAAAGAGATCCTCTTTTTACAAAATAGAGCTCGAAAAGTTATCGTTTTATGTCAACATCTGTAGTACTTTGAAGAAATGTTATTTCAAGAAAGCGTTACTAATAAGTGCACAGACACACGCACACAGAAACACACATATATTTATATATATATATATATATATATATATACACACACACACACACACACATATATATATATATATGTGTGTGTGTGTGTGTGTGTGTGTGTGTGTGTGTGTGTGTGAAAATATATAGAAAATAGGAAGGAACTGGTTAGGTAAATAATCCAAAGTTCCTTAGTATTTTAGTTATTATTTTTCAAAAATAGTGCTCGATACAAAAGTAGAGCATAAATATAATTATTTATTTAAAAATATGATTCCAACTCGCGACATAAGAGGTCTCATGTTTCAAAACAAGAGCCGAAAACTTCAATATAATTATTTGAATTAAATTGAGTTAAAGTGAGCTCTGTTCCATCTTCAAGCGAAATTTTTTTTTGAATAACGTATTTCTGAAATTTGCGTGTTTTAATAATTGAAATCAAAATTTCCATGGTAACAGCTAGGGCGAATTGTTTAAATTGGGTAGGCGAGTGTTGGGTGTTAATAATAAGTATCAGTATAGAGTTACTTTCATAGATGTCAAGTCAGGGAATGGTGGGGGTGTCTAAATTTGAAACGGAAGATGTATTAACCCTAGTCTGGTATGCTTGTCTATGGAGATTTTTTTTATTTTTTTTAATTTTTTTTTTATGAAAGGGATTTGTGCATATAAAAAAACTGCCGTAACGTTTGTTTCTGACGACTTCATAAAGGGTTATCTTTTTTGTAGGGTATTTAAACTATT